TTTGAGCCACGACCCCCAAGATAGCATAAGTTTGTGACCCCCCAATTTGAATTTTCAATATAGCATGAGTAATAACTTTGTTGTTCATGCATTATTGCATTAAAAATTAATGTGTTAACTCCACAGATGAATCTCTTTATGTTAACATGTTGATTTTCTTTTGATTGAATGAATGAATTGATTTTAAGTCCGAAAAAGGAGTGGGAAGAAGTATACACTTTTAACTTTGACAGCCCTGATACACATTTATTTGATGAATGTAGGCTTTATTTTATTTATTTTTTTTTTTTACAATGATCTGGCGACCCCCTGAAATTATCTTGGGACCCCCATGAGGGTCCCAACCCGCAGTTTGAGAACCACTGCTCTAAACCTCAAGCAGTTTCTTGGTGATTTCTGTGGGCTTGTCAGGGACCAAGCAGTGAGGAAATGAGGCAAACAGGAACTTAAGGGGAAAAATAAGGGTTTTATTTCCCAGACAAATACTTCAAAACCAAAATCTATAAAAGAGGTCAACAAAATATAAGTACTCAAAATTACAAGAACAGAACAAGATGTTAACAGAACAAAACTGACCTAACAAAATGAGAACTGAAGGAACTTATATAGTGGTTTGGCCAAACCAAATAACAAAAGAGGGGAAAACAAAATGGACACCAACAAAAACTAATACAAAGGAAAATCTAAATAAATCCAAATCCCCCTCTGACATGGCCGGAGATGGTATGGCCTGATGAGCGGGCCTCTCTACTTAAATGGTTCAGCCCCTTGGCCACACCTTTTGCCTGGCTCACCGGATACCTCCAACATGGTAACTCAAAAGAAAAACTAAATTAATATAAACAGCAAAAGAATCCATATAACTTCACCTTGTAAAATGTGTGCACTCCATAGAACAAATGTGAAGCTAAAGGAAAATAAAGAAATTGAAAATCAAATAAACTGTGATGTGAATGTGAATTGTTTGGGGTGTGGTTGACTGCAAATTAAAAACAGGTGTGGTTAAATGAGGCGAGTGTGTGCACATTACCATTTTAAATGCCATGTGTGGCCTTGGCCATCACAGGGCTATTTTTTGTATTTCGTAAAGAAATGAAAAATCCCAGAATCAACATGTACGACATATTTTAGGTATTGCAGTAGTTACATTTTAATTTTTTTTTTTTTGTTTTGATCACATTACATTTTAGGTGCAACATAATCGCTGATGGCTTCAAAGTTACACAGAGGAGTGCAGAATTTTTAAAAATGTATTTATTTATGTGCTTTTTGCAGAATCTGGTGCAAACTGTTTATTTTTGGGAAATTTGTAAGACGTGTAGGATAAAGAGACTTTGATGAAATTTCACAATTTTAAGTTTATATTTGGTTTACTTTGCTGATTAAAGATGAGTAGTTCAGGGACCGTTGGAAAGCTGAAAATCTACCATTTTTTTCTGTTTTTGCAGTTTGTGATTTTGATTAACTGTTTAATTGTGGACATTTTAAAAAATAAATTAAATAACATGTCTTCCAAATTGTGCTGCTGGATTTTGGGGTTCAGAGTTAAATCAAGACTTGAAACTTTTTAATTTGTCGGTCATGGTTCGGACGATTTATTTCTATTTCTCACTGCTCTGTTATTCACTTCCAGCGCAATTTGAGTATTTCCACTTTTATTGCCTTGCTTTTTAATTCTTTTTTTGTTTGTTCCTGTTTGCTATTTTATATTGTATATTGTATATTCCATGTAGCTTGCATTGTGTTCCATGTGAAGGACTTTGACATTTATAAACTCGCCTTTTTACAAATTCACTCAAAGTGTAGCTGCAGAGACCAAAAATATCTCCCTCATGTTGCCACCAAATGGAAAATCAAGGAATCCCCAAACATAGAAGTTTGTTCAAAATTCTATCCCGTAGTTGTTGTGATGAAAGAGGTTAACTGACCAACCGACAGAGCAGCGACCCCAGAGTCCTGCGGCTTTTTAAAAACAACATATTTTGACCTGCGTATCTCCATGTTGCTCGTGATGACGCCTCAATAAAGACCCAGTTAAACGCTGTGAATAGATGAAGGCCAGCAGGAGGTCAGAGTGCAGCTACAACCGTAGAGAACAGAGCAGGTAGCTGTCAGAGGTCAAGCTTTTTATTAGACGTTTTATTAGTTGATTTTTATTATTCATCTTCGGTGCTGCCTTTTAAATAAGAGTCCACAGGAATCATACACCTCATGTAGTCACACTATTGCGGCTGTTCCTGTACATTGCATAGCTGGAATTATTTCCCAGGATCAGAAGAAAAACTACATCTCAAAACTGCAACTTTAGAAACAATCAGAAAATGTAAATCTCGGTGATTTTAATCAACTGCAAGATTGCTTCTGAATGTGTTCATCCACACAGTCCAGTCATTAGGTGCTAAAACTTCACAGAGTTGCCATCATTTTACTCATTTTGGTGACTGATTGTACTTCGGTAGCAGAAAAGTGGAAAGGTAAACTTTACATTGCTCTCTAGCTCTAACTCTGTCATTTGTGAGCATAAAACCCACGTTTTCTCTTCGTTATTCTGCTCAGTTTTCAAGCTGCATCATGGCAGTGCAGCTCCTCGCCCTTCAGCAGCCAACTTCTTCTTGCACTCCCCAGAAGAAAACAAAAATCCCAACAATGTTCGCCGATCATTAAATGTGCCATGAACTTTCTCCTACCTCTTCTCCTCGCGTCCCCTCTGGATGGCACAGCGGCTGCACTTCACAAGGGCCTGCCGAGGCGACAAACACGATGAGCCACCGGCTGTTTGACAATAGATATGTGTGCGAGGTAGACGCAGAGGGCTGAGGATTGGTGTGAAAGAGCTGTGACAGCCCGACAGAGCCGCTTTAACCACATCCTGCTCCTGCGGGTAAACAAGTTGGGAAATGTTTGGACGGGGAGAGATGTGCCACTTTGTCACGCCGGGTGATGTTCGTCCCTGTCTGGTTCCGTCGCTCTCTGATTGTGCTGCGCTTTTGTTTTTTTCTTTGTCTTTGAGGAACCACAGATTGCAAAAAGACAGAGCTTCAAATCTGGAAGTTGGGCAGCAGACGTCCAGGTCCAATCATTTCGCTACATCCGACTGTGTGAAGGAATCTGTTGTCCACGTTCTGTTGGATAACGACTTCTCACTTTCGTCCAGATTACAACAACCCAACAACTTTACTGTGTCTAGCTTTTGGCTTTTGTAAAGAGGTTCGTGGTCTCCAGAAGATGAATCCTCATAACTTTTCCTGACGTTAATGTTTGTGTTTTTGATTGAAATATCCAAACTGTTGGTTGGATTTCCATGAAATTTGGTGCAAACTGTTCCATCCCTGTTTGGCTCCGTGTTATTTTCAGGTCTTTACATATAACCGCTGGGTCAAGACCCCTTGGTGTCACATTTTAATACACTGGTTACCCTTTAGCATCTTTTTATAATGTGCAAGGTAGTCCAATACCTCTACAGATTTCCCTAACTGCCTAAAATAGAGGCAGTGAGACTGTAGCCAAATGTTATCAGCTGGTGTCGTCACAGTTTGCCTTGTCATATGCCATTAATATTGTGAAAAGTTGTATTTTTTACATAAATCATTGGTCTTATCTTAACAGTACCCAAATGTTTTTGGTCCAAACAGTAAAACAAAAGCAAAAAGTGACAAAAATAATGGACCAATGCAGTGCACCAACCCAGCTATCCTGGGTGAAAGGCTTTAAAGGCTTTAATTAGCCAAAGACAATCGAGTGCTTGACTGAAATTGTACCGATTGGTCAAACAAAAGTGTGTCACCTGTAGATCAACTTAGTCACAGTGCACTGAGTCCACTCTACTTACTATCCTTGATTTTAGTTGAACATAAAAATCCAGCATTTGCAGCATATGAGATCATTTTAACCTTCTTGTTTTACACTGAAATCAGACTCGGACCAGACCTGCAGTATTCATATGATAAGTAGAATTAAATCAACTGGTAATCTCTGCACAGGAGGGATATAACACATTGAAGTTAGTCGACTGTTTTTAGATGATCTGCCATGTGGCTGGTTGAGCAGTGATATACAAGCTCCTATTTGCAAAGTTTATATTTGACTTTTTTACCGTCTGTTTTGACATAATGCAGCCACGCCGACGACTTCTTTGACATGATGTCAGTTAGTTTGGAGCTGACTCTGAGCAAGCGCTCAATAAAAGTTAAAGACGTTAACCCTAGGGGTCTCCATCAATTTGGGGGAACTCAAGTTGTAGAAACATAGTGGTCGTCAAATCCTGCCGCTGCCACAAATATTGGATTAATCTTGTTAAACTGTTGATGTCGCACTTTTCTCCGTATAAGAGTAAAACCAACGATTGTCCAGCTATTGACAATTTAGCTGGATTAATGCATACCAACCAACTAATCGTAGCTATGCTTGGATTTAAAAACAGAATTGTGCCTTTATTCCATCTAGATAAGTAGATAAGTGTTTGAAGATGCTGAAATTAGCTTCTGAGCAGTTTGCAGAACATCACTGGGCGTTTGAAAGTAGTCATTTTTCAGAGAAACCAATGGTTACCACTGACTTGACTTCAGGTAGCAGGGCAGGTTGCCCACTAATCACAAGGTTGGCTGTTTGATTCCCAGTCCCTCCTCATGCCAAAGTATCCTCAAGAACCCAAAGTTGCTCCCGTTGCTGCTGGTGTTTGAATGTTTGTGTGAATGAGTGAATTGGAAACGCTGTCTTTAAGGCAGAAAAGCGCGATATAAGTCCAGACCACTTCACTTACATGCCAGTTTTAAATTGGAAATCACCATCTAGTGTTGCCTCCGATGCCAAAGGACACTTTGTGTGATCTCTGAGACATGATGGCTTTGACACGAGGGAAGTATTTGGAAATGAGAACAGGTTGTCCTGGCAGTATTAAACTCCAATTTCCATCTTGCACCGCTACCCGCTACAAAACACTTTCCTCAAAAGACGACTCACTGCTGTTAAAACGAACCATGTCTCTGCTTTTGTCTTTCAAGGACCCAGATTAACTTCACCGTGGCGATCGACTTCACGGCTTCCAACGGTGAGCTTTGTTGTAAACACGCTTTTAACACACACACACACGCGTGTTCAGTGACTCGCATGAAGACACACGATGTGCGCCGAATGCCTAGGGAGCGTTTATTCTAATATATGCAGATGGGGAATCAAGTGTTTCCTAATGGCCCTCTCCATCACACCTGGCAGCTAAAGCTCAGCGCGCTAACACGCTATGATGGCCGTGATTAAGGACTGTGTTATCCATCTACCCTTGAGCTCAGCTATAGCAGGACGGGCGGCGACAATTGAGCCAAATCCTATTAGATCAAATGAGAGCTTTCAGGCAGTGGGTGTAAAAAAAGAAAAAAAGTGATTGAGGTTGAGGTGTACTTGATCTTGTCGGGCTGTCACTGAAGTCTGGAGTTTATTAAAAACAGTTGAAGTAGAGGAGTCAGCGGCAAAGAGAGCAAAACAAGCTTTAATATTACATTGAGGTAATTAGCAGCCAATTTAACTCCATCAGTGAAGCTGTGATGGATCTAATCGGGTTCTGGTGCACAAATGCCCAAATGATGAAGCTCTAGAGATCAGTTTTTGAAAACAATCACTGCTGCGATGGAGCTCAGAAAACATGCACATAATGTAGAAGTTCAAGTGGCTCTTCACTCAGTGATGGTGGCTCCTGTAGAGCACCAATAAACCCACACAGGTTATGGCAGCTGTTCAAAACACACACAGATAATTAATTATCTGAGCAGCTCTTTTATGTGTGTGTTAAAAGAATATGTGGATTTTTTATTTTTATTTTTTTAATTTTACAGTGTCGGACATCACCTCATGGGTCAAATGTAGAAATTTTTTTTTTTAAATAATCTTTCAGATGTCGTTGTAGGAGGCCTCCAATGCACATGTAGTATATATGGGGGGGAAAAATCTGAATCGTAAATGCTTTGTTGATCCCAGAGGGGAAAATTGCTTTTTAAAAAAAAGAAAAGAAAAAAAGAGAATATGTTAAATAAAAAGCTAAAGGTGGGAAAAATGTATTATTTAACCATTTTATAAAGTGTTCAATCGTATAGATTATAGAAAAAAAATATAGAATATAGAAAGATAACAGGCAAAAATGTATTATTAAACCATTTTTGTTTTAGGAGATATCCAATGCATATAGAATACAGACAATAGAAAAAACAATCTCTCCGATGTTGCTGTAGGAGGCCTCTGATGATTTACAGGGTTTTCAGTGTTTTTAGTTTTTATGGGATGTGTTGTAATCATGTAGAATAAATATATAGACCAAAAAATGGTTCATTAGCAGGGTTCATTGTTCATCTACCCTCATGCCGTTGTATTTAAATATATCTCCAATAATAGTCACAAAGCAGTTATATTTCCTATAAATCGTCATTCATTGCTAAAAGAGGATTGAAATTGCATTTAAACAGTGCGTCCTGGTGTTCATTTGCATTTTTACAATCAATCTCTTCACGCTAACACCTAAAAGTGTGTAATTAGGTTTAACTACTCGATTTTAAAGATTTAATTGGAGTCTGATTTGACTAATATTTCAAACTTTGTCTCATCAGTTTCCCCAAAAGTTCCCCACACTGATGCATCAATAAAGCACATTCCTACTTACCAGTACAAAGCCTTCTATAAAAATCCAGTCAGAGTTTGATTTATTGACCACATTGCGACCTTCTCTCACCAACAGGCCATCCTGCTCAGCCCACCTCGCTCCACTACATGAGTCCCTACCAGCTCAACACCTACGCCATGGCCCTGAAGGCAGTGGGAGAAATCATCCAGGACTACGACAGCGATAAGATGTTCCCCGCGCTGGGCTTCGGGGCCAAACTGCCGCCTGATGGACGAGTTTCCCACGAGTTTGCTTTGGTGAGAACAAGAGGTCAAGGGTAGGAAGCAGGAATGAGAGGAAGAAAGGAAGGAAATAGTAGAAAAATCCTGCTGTTGAGCTTTTAAAGAAGCCTTCTGCAGCCATAGAATGAAGAAAAAAGGTTGGAAAAACTAACAAAAATCGCCTTTTTAAGCTGATTTGTATGCATATTATTAATTTACAGTGTGTTACATGTTTTTTTTCTCAGTAGATATACAGTTTTATGGTCTTCCCTAATAAAAACAAAGCACTGCATCACTGATCTAAAAAGTCTTCTCCTCCATGCTGGTCCATTTGCTGCTCAGTTGTGTGTATTTTATTCCAACAGGTAATATGAGGATGCTCGTATATATCTCACACAGCAATAGAATAGTTTCACAGCTAATCGACAGGTTCAGGTTTTGGGGGTTTAAATGTCTCAGACGCTTGACGAGCGGTTTACATCAACTCCTGTCAAGAGAAACAGAAACTCTTCACCGACAGGAGCCTCAGATGGGCAGAGGGGAATACAGCGCTGAGTCAAGTTGCATTTGAGGAAAAAGGCAGATTTGCTTCACTGAAAAGTTGCTGCAGTCGTGTAGTTGAATTCCAAGTAAAATACGTTTGATTAAAACAGCGAGTAATTTGAAAATGAGCAAAGAGGCGGCACCCAAAGAATCCACAGCCTTAATAATGCAGACGTTTAAGGCTTAATAAAATCTAAATGGTGGAGTTATATTCAAATTTATCCCCGATGCAGTGGTCATGAATGCAGAAATTAGCCACAGAGACCAAAACTGTTTCAGTAGCAGTCTGTAGACATGTTTATTTCTGCTGTAGAGTTTAGCATTTTAACATGGACTGTCTTACTTTTGGAGGCAGCCTCTAGTGGACATTCAAGGAACTACAGTTTTTGGCAATTCAACACTGAATTCACATTTTAGTCCTGCTGGTGGTTAGTGCTTGATTTTTACATTGCATTTGCTTACTTTCTGTTGCTTTGAAGTTCATTTCCCGGCCTGATCTTGTTGAAAGACTTCCTTGATATAAGCAGAATGGACAAACTGCGCCCTCCAGATCCTGTATAAGACGGGATTTCTGCACGTCTTGTTGCAGCTGTGAAGCCATTAGTGGCCAACGGTCACATGATTTAAAAAAATCAGGGACTTTTTGGCTGAACTGCAGCCAGTGTTTACACCAAATACAGAGGAGACAACGTATGGAAATAAATTCAGCTGTGAGGAGTAAAATATCTATCGTATGTAGAGCCACCCAATTTTTTTTTTCTCCAGCGTTTGTAACAGCTGTGGGCAAAAAATACTGCACATGCTGAATCTGTTTTTTTCTGAATATTTGTAGAATAAATCATCAGCAAACTTCAGCTTTTGGTTTTTTTTTTTGTTCTTTTATATGATTTATGGCATTATAAAAGCTTGTTCTACTGCTGAAAATACTTTTTTTTTTTTTTTTAAATTTCCTATGAAAACTATGCCCAAAAATATTCTCACAAACTGCTTAGTTTATGAATTAAAACACAATATTCATTCTAATTTTTTTGTTCCATCTTGACTCTGTTTGTTCCACCTGCTTCTGCTCTTCTTGTGACTTTTATTCATGCATCTCTAATTATAACGAAGCCCCTCCTTTCTCCTGCAGAACGGGAACCCTCAGAACCCATACTGTACGGGTATTGAGGGCGTAATGGAAGCCTACTACCAGAGTCTGAAGTCGGTTCAACTGTACGGACCCACAAACTTCTCCCCCGTCATCAACCACGTGGCCAGGTAACACATACGCGCCAAAGAATCCAAAGATTTTAATGTAGTGTCAGATGTTGCACATTTTGCTTTTCAGTTCTCACAAGGCGTGCGTATTTGCCATCGCTGCTTTTGTAATGACCTTGAAGCGGCTTGTTAAAGCACATTTCAACCGACACCAACGTGTGTTCTCAGCTTTTCTGTAATGAGCCCAGTTGCCAGGTAGCTAACACGAGTCTGAAGGAGCTGATTGCTTGTTTGTTTGTGTCAACGAGAACATAATTTATGCTGCAAAGGAAAATCACATGATGCAGACAAGAAAAAAAAAGACGTTAAGAAACCATTCATGCGAGCATGTAATTAAAGAGGTGCACTTAAGCGATGTCTCTCATCAGGTTACTTCACATATCTGCCAGATAATTTGCAGAAATACTCACGGTAATTGTGTATTTACACATGGAGAGGCAAAGTCTGGAGGGAAAACGGT